AAGCTGTTCAGCTTCATCTACAGACGTATTACAGTTGTCACCTGCTGGGAAGATTCCGAGGGAGAAATGGAAGTGGATAGTGGATAGTGGCCCAGAATAAGGTTCGGAGTGATTTACTTATTTGTAAATGCAACATTATCAACAAGGTTCCTTGTGAACATTAAATGGGAAAATGTTCTGTTTCAGTTACTGTCAAACGTTCTTGGGGGGGGGGAAAGGGTTTTTCAAGCAAATGGTGAACTTTTAAAACAAATGTCAGTATTTGCCATGTCACAATCCACCTTCTAACATTAAGACCTTTTGCCCAGTGACCCCTGAAATGCCACAGTTTTCCACTGGCACTATTCCATTCATTTTTTAACATGGGGGCCCGACACCCTGTCCTGACATCTTGTGCCAAAGTTAGTCTTTGAAATCCAGCATGTTGCCAGGCTGCCAGCCTCTTGCCCAGTGGGCAGCATGCAGTACACTCTCACACAAATAGCAATTTATTCCAGACAGAGTGCATACACATTTTCTTCTGTCATAGACAGAAGGCAGCTCTGTCAAAATGATTGTTACAAGTGTTTCCCTCTTTCACTGAAAAGCAGAAGAAAAAGGAAAAAGTTCCTGGCACAAAAAAGTGTCACTAGTTCAAACGGGAATTTATGCAGATAATTATGAGGCCCATCTGCAGGACCAAGATGCAGTGGAATAGTTTGACATTAGTATTCAAGGGTGCCATAAGGGTGGGGGGGGGGGAGTTAGGATGATGCTAAGGGCCCTTGACTGGGTTGGGGGCCCAATATGATATGCTTTCATGGGGCCCAAACTCTCTAGCGGCTCCCCTGAGTATACAGTACACTTCATTTTGACCAGCTCCTGAAACCATAAAACTCTCTTTTGCCAAAAGTGTGCTGTCTCAGTTCTGTGCAGAATTGCACACGTTTCTACATTCCTGCTGGTGCAAACCTTCTCTTTCATCACGGGACTAGCCCTCCGTGATTTGTATGCCTCATTCTGAAAAAGGCTGCCTTGGAAAAAAATTGAATGTGACTAAGAATATATAATCTTTTGGTATTTCAGCAAAGTGTGGTGCTAAACGTATTTATCTTCAGAAATGCGCACTTTAGCATAATAAGTAGTGCACCCCTAAGGGTGAGCTGTGAAGCACATTTTCTGTGAAGGCCAAAAATCTGTCATGTGTTTCTGTGTGTGTGTGTGTGTATGTGAGAGAGAGAGAGAGAGATTCCTTATAATCAGGTGCTGTACGAACAACACACTCCTCTTTTAAGCAAACTGAAAGTGCCCAAACTGTCTGTCAGATATCAGTCATCAGTTCTTATCCATTGAAATTAATCACATTACAGTTATTGGGAAATCGCAAACATGGACATACTGTATACTATGTGTTTCCAGGGTGTGCTCTCTTTACGATCTTCTTTCCTTGTAAATTTCATTCCTTGAAGCCTTTTGTACCTTCTGCCTGCTCAGACAGTGGCAGACATGCATTCCTTGGATTGTTCCTTATCCGTCTGCTTTTTACTTTGCATTTGAATAATTAGAAGTGATGTTTCAGTTGAACGGCGTCCAGCTGGATCCTTTGCTTGTTTTTTTTCTCTCTCAGGTTGCAGGAGAATGAAATCCGATCATGAAATGTAATCGAATATATAGACTTCATATGTTGTTCCTGTGATGGGTTGACACCAAGGTGGCATGGTCGTGCTGTGTTGCCTCACCTCTCTGGGACCAGGGTTTGAGTCTCCGCCAGGATTCCATGTGTGTGGAGTTTGCATGTTGTCCCTGTGTCACCTCCCAGTACACTGATCTCCCCAGTTTACCGAAGATGGATAAGTTGACATCCCCAATCTTGGGTCAATGCCTGCCTTGCGCCTGTACTTTTCAGGATAGGCTCTGGACCCCCTAGAACAAGTGATGGATGGATGGTATGTTTTTCAAGTGTTTCTGCCTTCTCTGGCTTGCCCACCGTGTGGCAGTAGCATCCTTTGTGTCAGCACACTGGTTGCATTTTCACAAAGCCAGTGGCGAAACACACCTTTAATCTTCTTTAACAAAGGCACCAGTTAATGAGGTGTCATGCTTTGCTAAAGTCCAGCGTATTAAATTTCAGTTTCCTCTTCTTAATGTTACAAACTACAAATTTGTCTGAAAACCAACTCTGTGTTTTGGTCCAAACAGGGCGCTCAAATTAATTACAGATAGATTTTTGGATATTTGATTAATTTAACCAGTACATTTAGCAAAATACCACATTGTCCTTATCGCTAAAAAAAAAAGTATGCCAATGTCATGCTAACTTCTAAAAGTTTGTAATTGAATCCTTTTTATTGAATCATTTGTAAATTTTTACTCAATGTTTGAGTTAAAAATAAAGCAAGATGTGACTGGATTTCTATGTGATTAGACGATGTTGTCCCTTGGGCTAAAAAATGATAAATCGTTTTCATTATCATCTGTGCAGCAAGCTGTTACGTGAGTGAGACAGGCTGTTATTGACGGAGATATTGATTGAAGTTCACTGTGGGTAAAATCCCTCAACATTCCACCCTTATATTACTTAATTTTAATTGTCTGATGCATAACAGATGACTACTCAATTACACACCCATTTCCACATCCCAGAGGTGTTGTACAGGGTCGCTCTCGGAAATGTGTAGGCCTACCTCAGCAATTAATCTATCCTAAAAGTCTTATTTGGTAAGTGACACTACTGTTCTGGATCATTTGTCTTTCGTAAACAGCAAGGTTCCCCAAAAATGGAAAGCTTGGTTTCGCATTGAGAATTAAAATCTGCTTGATTTAGATAATTATATCTATTTAACTGTAAGTCCTTTGAATCATAAGACACCACTGCTTTAATACATGCTATTATATGTTAATTAAATTAAATTGATTTAATATATATTGTTTTGATGAACTAGTTTCCCATTCATTGCTGCTGCACGATGTAATGTCCCCTTCTTTTGTGTAAGTCGTTATGGAAATGGATTGGTATATGGATAATTAGAGTTTTTAATATTTAATAACTCTACAGTGCTCCCGCTTCTTACATGGTCAATTGGTTCCACAACACAGCGCGATACTCGAAACCCGTTTACGTTCAATACCGTTATTTAAAAGTACCTATTTACTTTGCATATACTGTACAGGGCGGCCAGCTCTCACGCATCTGGCGTGACACCCACGCATACGGACTATCACGCTCACGCTCACGGGAAATCTTAGCTAAATCAAAAGCGTTCGGGTAGTTCGCAAACCCCATAGACTATATTTACAAGGTAATAAAGTATCTATCTATCTATTATTATTATTATTATTATTACTACTACTAATACTAAAACTGTTACATACATGCAAATTCGTGTGCGTTTCTCGAATTGAAAATCTCACTCTAGCCAGCTGACCAACTCTGCGTGTACACCTTCCTACAGTACTGCTACTTTCTATGATACATTTAAAAAAAATAAATAAATAAAAACACTACAAGTAGAAGTCAGCATCTCTCAAAAAGGTTATGATGTTCATGCAGCACAATGCCCCTTCCCATGCACCATTCCATGGATTGGCCAAGAACGGCTTGGAAGGTGATTGAATAATGACCTGCAACTCTTCATCACCTGACTCAGCCTCCATTGAAAACTACTGGGCCTTACTGAAGTGTGAGATTTACCAAGATGGCAGGCAGGACTCAGCATCTGGGAGGTGCTCCTGGCTGCCTGGATGTGATCAGGTCAAACGACTTGACTGGTTCAATGGACAAGAGGCTCATGATGGTCATTGAGAAGAAAGGTGGCAATACAGGATATTAAAGCTGGTAAAGTTGTCATATAGACTGAATAACAAAAACTATGAAATCATTATTTCTGTTGATGGTGAAGAGAGAAAAAAACCCTATTTGCCTAATAATTGCCCACACTGATGTTTTTCTTGTATTTGTGATAGACTAATATAACATTGTCTCTCTAAATATATTTACTTGGAGAATAATAAAGCTTCTGAATTACTCGTATAAGTCTGGTGCTGCGGTGCCTAATTATAACCTTCACCCTAAACCCTATGGATGCATATAATTAGAAGATGTCATTAAGTAATATCTTTACCTTAATACCCAGTGTCTGTTCATGTTCATAATCTTTCAATCTGTTTTTATTTGCAAGCTGATTTTGGTAAACATGCCTGAAAAATGGATAAATTACATTCTGTGTCCTTTGGTTTCTCAACTGAATCCCTGCAACCTTGTCAGTCTCCTTATGTTTGTTTGGTCGATAGGGTTATTTACAGTCAACATGGCTTTTTGTGCACCTGTAATTGGTCCCTGGGTATTTAAGCGTCCACAGTACTTGCAGAGTCGTTTACTGGGATTTGTTTGAATGTGCAGCCCATCCTGCTGGGAGGTCTCCAGGCAGTGTGCAATCGAACTGCTTTGGTTAGATCCCAGATCCCCAGCAATGTGAAACCGGCGTATAGAGTACAGTCACATGCACATACTTCTGTGTCTGTCCACTCGCAGTGATATTTCTGGTGAATCTCTGGAAGCCGTGATGGTGCCAAATTACACTCTCCTTTATGTATGTTTGGTGTAGAACATGTGTTTCAGATGCAGTGTGTTTGTGTGCATGCATGTCCTGTAAGTTAGCCATCCAGAAGCTGGCTCCTCCCACTGCGCCTCCCACAGGTCTGCGATTGGCTCAAGGTGTCTGTAATTTCGCTCTGGTCATTATCTTCAGGAGGAAGTGTAAGAGAAGCCCGTCCCTGGAGGCACGTGGGAGTTATGCACTGGCGTTTTCTGTAACTCAGGCCTACATTCTGCAGGAGCACCATCAGTAGTGAAGGTTTGTGAATAGACACTGACACACAACATGACAGAGCGGGTTTGCTTGGGGGGGGGGCACGTACCTGATTGTGTAGGTAATTAGTGAGTACAGCTGGGTAAACCACAGACAAGGCCAGTCAGCTGACGTAAACAAACAACTCAACAATCAACGCTGTCCAGTTGACTCTCCAGGAAACAGTCCACATATCTTTTATTGTGTAAATGGTTACAATGGGTTAATTGGTCAAAAAAAACTAATCATATTTCATGCAGCAATTTTTTTCACAATAGATTTTTCCAGAACGAAAAAAATCTAAAAAGAAGAAAAAAACCAACCATAACAACATGCAGAAAATGCTTTTCTGATGAAGAAGTTGCCGGAATCATCTGGCGATGAAATCTGTGGCCAGCTGTCGTCTGTCTAAATGCTCCCTTGCCCCTGGGGGGGGGGGGGGGTGGCCCAGAATGAGAGCGAGGAATGTCCTTCTCAGTGCTTGTGTCTGATGAGCAGGGTGGTTCCCGGGTGGATGAGGAAGAGCAGGGGCTCTAGATGCACTTGAGGAGGTAGGAGTTGCAGTGACCTCCTCGGCTGCAGTCACAGAGCCTCCCGATCCGGGGTCCGAGTCTCATGGCGCAGCGCTGGCCCACCCCGCACTGCAGCACAGACAGACACCCTCAGACTCCAGCTCAAAGCAGCAGCATGAAATCAACTGGCCGACTGCATGTACTTGGGTCAGTTCTGGTCAGAAATGCAACTAATGTCCAGTGACATCAGGTATGAATAACTTTGCCAAGTTTTACTCAGTCAGTGATACTGACCTACTCCATACAAGTGTTCAGACTAAAGCTATACGTTGTGCTCCTCAGTTAGGGATTGGTTAGATGGCTGTCTGTCATGCCTATAATTTGCATTTAACCGAATACAGTAAACCTAAGGTGTACTGTGAAATTACACACATAGAAATCTATTACATTTTGAGTGGATTAGGTCCACACTCTTCATAATTATTCATAAATCTGAGTAGGATATTTTTAAGGATGGACTCACCGTCGGGAGGGTTCCCCGCCTCTCGAGGGACGGGAACCTGCTTTGAAACCTTCCTAGGATTTCATTCATAGCCTCCACCTGGGCGTGGACAAGAAGCACTGACTAACTTAATTTTCGTCAAACTTATTGAAAATAGCTTTGATTGCATAATATGCCTGACCACATTTTTCCTAAATAAATCATGTGACTTGTATTAACATGCATGACACGTTTTTAGCGCTATTTCAATGCTGACAAAACAAGGGAGAATTACAGACATGACAACAAGAGAATATATCAGTAAAGGCTGCGATAATTTCCACATTGCAAAATACGTCCCAGCGTTACCTGACCTACCAGCTGTTTTTCGGAGGATCCTGTCCCCTCCGCGGCTGCGTCGTCACTCCATGCCTGACCGCAGCAAATGAAGGTGACAGCACTGGCACACATGAGCTGAAGCAGCAAGCCTGAACTCTGCATGGTCCTGAGCACCAACACCACCAGCTGGGGCAGAAGCTGGGCTTGGCCACGAGTGGGTGGGTGAAACACTGTTGGGCCCGACAACAGCCTGCACCCTTTATAGGCAAAATAACTCCTCCCAAGGGTGATAATTTGTCGTGGTTAAAGCGCTGGGGGAGATCAATATTGGACATTTTACATCCTTTTTTCTAACTGATTGCATCCATTACACCATGACACCTTTATAAATATTTAACTTCCATATATCGGCTAAAGTAACATTTCGATTTTCCGGCAATAAGTGGGGTTGTGGTAATATTTGTCATTAAATGCTTCCGGGGAAAAGCTATTGTAATGTTTAGTTAAAGTGTCATTCGATTTAGAGTTATAATATTGTGCACGTGCGTAATATAGTATTACCACGAGCTATATTCAGCATAATTTGTTTCATCTAATAATCTTAAAGACCCTGATAATGAAGGATTAAATGTAATTTATGTGGTCCTCGGGGTATGTAACGGATTTAGAGGTTTTTACAGCCCAACAATGCCTGTGAGTTTATTGCTTAGGTTTAAAATATGAGGCACAAAGGGCACTGCAGGCGTGTACCGCTGGTCTTCCCACGCTGAAGACTGCTGTTCATTACGCAAAATCTGCAGAAACCACAGCTACAAATGACCAGGATGTATCTGTACCCATGCCTTGGTCTGTACTGCATGGATTATTCAGTATGACTAGTCAAGTGGAGAATTACTGGATGTTTTTCTGGTGTGTTGCAAAGTAACAGAAGGTCCTTCTCTCCCTCTCTGTTAACTACCCATAAATAAGACTACCTCTGAAGACCTGGAGAATTCTGTTAATATTTTGATTTGCTAAGTTTATCTTTTTTCTGGCCAGCATTCTTCCAAGTGTTAGCTATAAAATCTTTGAAGTCATTTCCGTGTAAGATCAGTAATTTGTCATTATCCAAATTTCAATGCGCATAAATGCACAAAAATCACTCTGCGCCTATATGATGCGTTATTTTCTGTTTACTGAATGTGCTTATACTATATATGCAGTGCGATTTGGGTTTTGACACAAATGGGTCAAATAAACACAGTAGTGGATGGGAAAAATTGACTATAGATGCAGTGACACAAGTAGAGTACATGCATTGTAAAGCGGGATAAGTGGGTATAGAAAACAGCAGAATGAAGGGCTCTCTTCCTACCAAAAAATGTGTTCAAGTTTGTAGTAAAAGCTCAGTAAACTAAAGCCTCAGCAAAGGAAAGGAAGTGTTTTCAGGTCAATGATACAAAATCTCACATCAGTAAATGTCTTTTTTCCGGTCTACATTATTAAAATCACAGGAAAACTGCACTTAGGCTGCTTGTCAGTGAAGAGGGGTAAATTACTGCAAAATACCTCCTACAACTGCTTATCAGACATAGTGGAAACTTTAATGCAGGGGTCTCCAACTCCAGTCCTGGAGAGCTACCGTCCAGTAGGTTTTCTATCCTACCTGGCTTCTGATGAGCCGCACCTGTTCTCAGGTAAATACCAGGAACAGGTGTCACTCATCAGAAGCCAAGCGGGACAGAAAACCTACTGGATAGTAGCTCTCCAGGACTGGAGTTGGAGACCCCTGCTTTAATGCATCTACATAGGCCTAGATACTACCAATAAATCCGCAAAGAAACGCAACATTTCATTTGAACATTTCTTCGAACGGTTGGAGAACCATAATGTGAGCTCTCTAAGCTGTAATGGTCGGATAAGTTCTTTAACTTTCAAGAAAATAACAAAAATGAAAAAATGTCAATTACTGGAAGTAGCTCCGGTCGCAAAATAGTTCGCTTGTTAGAAAGTCGCGCATAAAGTACAAAAAAGGAGAAGAGGCGAGCAGGTAAGATGGCGTTGTCAATGCCGGCGCGGCGCGATAGAGGGCGCCACCGCCGCGTCTCGGGCCCCGCTCACTGGGTGTTTCCTGAAACGCATACTTTAGGATTTAGCAGAGAACACACCCAGTGACATCAGTGAGGGTCGGAGACAAAAAATAAAAAAAAAGTCTTAGCAGACGTTGTACGGTTAAGTCAAGGGGGCAGTGGCGCCTTTGCAAGAAGTCCCCCCTCCCCCAATATTATTTATTAAGCTTTATTAAGTAGTGTCGGCATACCTATAATTGTAAGGACTTTGCGGTATTTGGCGGATATAACTGGATCTTCGGCAGAAATATGTCAACTTCAGACGAAGCAGACGGGTTCCGGCCACGCTATGGGTGTAAGTACCTAAAGGAGCTTCTTTTCCTCCCTTCTCCTGCGGAGAAGTTGCCAGGCGCCCCGGAGACGGAGCCCAACTCCGCCAAAGTGACTCCTTAGTGCAGCCTCGCTGGCCTCTTCGCCCCAGTCTTGCCTAAATGGCTTTTCTTTCTCAGCATATCGCTTTGCAGATGTTTTAACTTTTGCATGCTGGTTGCGGCGTGGGGGGGGGGGCACGCACTTCCGCGTTTCACATTTTATTAGATTTGTCGCCCCTCTCTTATCTGTACAGCATATTGAAATAAGGTGTGTCGGGATTCCCGACTGTTATACACGCGGTGTCTCTCACATTCTCGCCGTAAAATCTGTATTTCTGTCTTGCATCTCAGTAAAAACGATAGGCGTGTCCTGCTCGTCTAAACTCCAGGCTGAAATGAAGAAACTCCTTACAGATCCTCACCTACCTACATATCAAAACCGAGTAATTCATACGGGACACCTTTGCCTTCTGGAAATGAAATGGATTCGGTGAAAATAAAGATTATAGTTCCCGAATCGGTGCCGCCTGAACTAACGTTATTTCTTGCGCGAAAGCAGCCCGCTTTACATGTAGCTGAAGCGAAAGTGTCGCGTATCAGTTTCCTTTTCTTAGTTTATAAGGTTTGCGTTTGATGGCCGATAGAAACTGTAAATTTATCATACTCTTATCGCGGAGTGCATCTGTGGCTTTTGGACGGCATGTTAACTCGCTGACAAACATCAACTATTATATATATATATATATCTGTGTGTGTGTGTCTACGTGTCTGCATATATATACACACACCGACACCAACGATAAATATATATTTTTTTCTTTTTTAAGCGACATGACTGTGTGACAACATTTACCGGTGTGCACATTTCATTAGTTCATGTCTCCAGTGATTGCGTTCTCCTTCCAGCCTGGGACATCTGATATTTTTATAACCTGTTAGTTGAAGGCCAGACGTTTGACGGAAGCTTCTTACATACTAGACACCTGAAGGTCACGGTAATATGGCAGCTTAGATTGGCACAGTTTCGCTGCTCCAGGCAGCTGCCGATTTTCTGTATTTCCACCACCATGGCTTTTTAAGTGAAGAGATTTCATAAGTAACTTTGGTCCAAGCCAGTGTCAGACCACCTAGAACAGTGAACTGTGACGTGTTTTTGATAAACGGACACTGTAGCTTTAAATGATTCATCTACAAATGGCAAATAGTTATGAAATTAGAGAAGTGGTTTTTTTATGGGCTAAAATGGCATAGAAATCATCCTAAAACTCTGCTATCAGCATTTGAGATGAGAGCTGTGGGTGGTATTGCTGGGACCCTGTCAGGTTGTGGCCTGTACCCTGGGTGAGACGCCTCTCTGGTGCTGTATTTCTCCCTGAGACCCCCAGGGCAGGTATTAGGGTGCCTCCGTGCTGCATCAGCGGCCCGTCTCTTCTGCCTGCAGCGATTAGTGCACTGGCAGCTTTCCCTGAGACCTTGGCATCACCTTGTTCAGTGGTGGCGGTGCGTGTCGGGCAGCCTAGGGGTAGCCAACGCGGCCTGTCGGCCATATACCCCCCAGGCCACTGTGTCTGTGTGGTTCACTGTGTCTCCCCTTTTGCGCTTTGAAGAAAGGGCGGGGGCCCCCCCCCCCCCCCCCCCCCCCCCATGTGAGGGATGCAATGGTAATTGCTGGTTAGGCTTGGATAGTATTAGTAATACTAGTAATGGTTAGAAGTCTGCATTTGAACCTTAATTCTGCATAATGATGATGATGAAGGACTCTTCAGTCATGGCTTTGTAAATGGCTGTGCCTTGCAGCTGTCCTGGATGGAGTGGAACGCCTCACCGCAGAGGAGATGGATGAGCGGCGACAGCAGAACATGGCCTACGAGTATCTCTGCCACCTGGAGGAGGCCAAGCGGTAAGGTGGCTCCCCCGGCGAGGTGGCACCCCCTCAGGGAAATATCCACAGATCAGGAATGGGGGGAGGGGGGCGTTGGGTGTTGAGGAGAGAAGGAAGAAGTATCGGCAGATGTTGCGACATGTGTGACAAGCAGCCGCGTGCAGAGTTTCTTCACCAGACCCCCCACCCCGGTCTGTTTGCTGCAGGATGACAGTCTGGGTTTTTTTATGCAGCTGAGGGATGGAAGCAATTCATTTGGCATGAATGACTGTATGGGTTAGAGAGCAGGGCTGGAATATGGCAGCCTGTTCACTTTATTGAGAGTTTTTGTTTTCCCTCCAAAAATATTAATTATTAAAGCCATTCATTTATCGCACGGAAAAATAGTACTGCGTTTTGGTACCTTTGTGGGGCCGCCTGCTGGCTTGTGAGTCCGGCGTCGGACCCGCCGGCACGCCCGCCCTGAGCCGGCCCTGGCGAGTTCTCGCGCCGCTGCACCAGCCACAGACGATCGAGTGGGAAGAGCGAAGCAGGAAATGAGTCAGACCTTGTTGATCTCAGTATCTGCAGCCGTTGCTGTAGAGACGTGGGGTTGCCTTGGAGATTGGTTGCAGCATATTATGGCATTAGTGATAGCGTGCATGTACGTCGTCTGTTAGATGAGGGGGTGACGGTGCACTGCAGCAGAACTGGGTATTACCCCCTCCCCCCCACTCTGAAACTCAGTATCTGTCTACAGAGACTAAACCTATGAACTGGAAGGTCCCCCACCTAGGATGCATTTCTACAGCATATCTAGTATTTCAGGGGATCAGAGACCCTGGGGTGAGCGCCCCCGCTGGTGGCTGCATGCCAGCGCACCACAGCTGTCCTCCCACAGGCCTCGCAGCTCTCCCTGTAGACTTTTTGGGAACCTGACTTGCCGTGTATTTGCTTTTGGTCTGCTTCGCGTGCACCAGAGGAAGCTGGTCCCCCGCAGGGCTCTGTAGGGCTGGCGCTGTGCCACCTTCCCAGCTGCACTGGGGCCCATGCAGAGAGTGACCGTCCCTCCATCCCCTGCCCGCCTGTCCCAGCCGGCAGTCAGACGCTGCTGTCATCAGCTTTCGCTCTCATTGTCGCCCGCATGGTTTCCAGTGAAGCCTTATCTCTCGGAAGGATCCAGAATCTCATGTATGGCGAGCCGGGGGTGGGGCGGCAGGAGGGCCGTCCTCGCTCGCGTTCTTACGTTCTTTGAGGGACGCGATTCGATGTCTGAGTGCCTGCAGTCAGGGGTCAAAGTTCAAGGTTTTGCTTCCTGTAGACCATAGTAGTAAGTTAAGCCAGTAAGTACAGCAGTTGCCGCTTACTAATAGCAGAAAATAACTCTACCGTAGACAAAGCGCTCAGCGTTTTGGACGCAGGGAGTAAGGGCCACGTGGCCTTGCTGTCATCACCCTGCCCTTTTCTGCCTCATCCGCTGGCTTACAGTCTAATAACTTTCAGCAAACTATTTAGAATTTATGTGGTGATGATTGTGGCTCTTTTTAAAAAAAATCTATTTATCTGTTATGCACATCAGCCTAGACACTTTTCTGCTGAATGCCTTCAGTTTTGAAACACCTGTCCATGATACAATACTCATCACGGTGCTAGTGTCACAATTCAGTGCATCACGGAATTACCACTGTACCCTGATGGTTAACATCCAATACTGAAATAAAGGAAGTACTCAAATTTAAAACAGGCCAGATTTAATTAATGGGATTGAGTCAGTATCTTGAACAAAGCTGTTGCGTACTTCAGCTCAAAGTTGCAAAAACTATGCACTTCCTTGTGCAAACATAAAGTAGGGCTAGGCAATTACTCACATTTTAATTTCAATTACGATTTTGGCTTCCAACGATTATCAAAACAAAACAATTGAGATAAAAGCGATTATTGGGCCGCATTTCATTTTACAGTGATATTCTGCGTTTCCCCTTTCCAGCCCCTTTTTGTTTCTCCGTTGAATTATATTTAGAGGAAATCCACTGTAAAATAATCGTGATCATAGGATTTTTCAAAAATCGTGATTATGATTTTTGCCATAATCGAGCAGCCCTAACAAAGTGCACATTTCTGGTTTTAAAATGGCAAATGTGGGGGAAAAAAGGCATATAGAATGAAACAGTTGACTTGTACTTTAACACTTCAGAGGTAGAAACTTAGCACAGGATTCATAAACAGCATGTTTTTAATCGGCAAATGTTGAAAAATGTTCGTAAAATGAAACATATGTCGGCATTGAATGGTACTGCAATAAGTTAATAAATTGATGCAAAGATTCAAAAGTATCGATGAGAAATCATGACAAACTCAATCACAGTTTAAAGATTAGTTTCAGTTATGTTTCAGTATTGTTACTGCAGCCAATCACCTGAGCGCATAGGTGGTGGTATTTTGACAAGCCTTCATTTTTGTGATGCCTTTTTGTGAGGCCATATGCAATAGGCTGAATGCAGCAGAAATATCGCTCTCTTGTGAGCCATGATATTTGAGGTATGTGAGCGAAGGCGTAGGGGGAGGCCAGTTACACCCTATGACACGGCAAAGGTATTTTAGGGCCGGGTTCTCAGTTAGTGACTTGCTCTCCTGTTTTGCTGGAGGTGATGAAATACCTGCCAGGAATGCAAGGTGCCTCAGTCGTTCCCTACGAGCGAGACCTGGCTGTGAGCTGCCGGGTGCAGAGACGGAGGTTTATGGACCCTGGAGTGGCGCATGGAAAGCTGGCTTTGAAAGTCGCTGGAGATCAACCGTAATCATTCTGCTGAGGCCCATGGAAAGTTCCGGGTGTCCCCCGTCTGCGATCAGTCCACGCATGGCTTTGGGCTGCCGGGGTTTGCAGGGACGCGCCTTCGCCTCATGCTTTGGCTGTTTTGTGAGCTCTTTGGCGTCGGGCCCGGGCCACGATAAACGGCAGTTTACAGGCCATGGAAGTGGCGGTTTGGCTGTGCCGCGCGGTAAAAGCTCATTGTAGACAGGGGTGGATTGGAAGCACCATCTGGTTAGACGTGATCGTGGGCCGCGGCCCCCCCCCCATCCACGCCCCAGCTGTGACGCGGCGACACGCCATTTCTTTTTAAAAACAGATAGTGCCGGACTGTAACTATGTAAATGGCAGAAATGCCTCCTGTTATCTTATCTCGTATCCACGGTGAGGGAGGGGCCTGTACCGTGGGATAGCTTGCCCTCCACCTGTCGGAGGTGGCAACTGTCGCTGAGCCGGACACAGCGTGGGGGGGGGAGGGGGGTATGTATGCCCACCGACCAGTAAATGGTTCTAATGCCCACCAGCTCTGTATAACCACTATACCACTGGTCATCTTTACCGAACCCCATCGTGGGAGGGGTCCTGTTTAGACCACCAGGTGGACCCAGCCTCCTGACATGGTATAAAATGGTGTGGTTCTGTTCTGTTCCCCCCCCCTCCCCCCGTTTGGTTCCTGCCTGTGTGGCTGCCCTCCCCGCGATAGAGGTCACTGGGGGGCCGTTTTCTCAGGGTCCACTGGGCAAGGTCAGCTGGATTCCTGTACGGCAGCAAAGCATGTAATGGAGTGTTTGGCTGCCTTACAGGAAGACCACCCCCCCTTCCAAGAACACTCCCCCCCCCCATTTCTCATATCTTTTACAGTAGCTAAATGCCCAGCAATGACAAACTAAATAGAACAAATGATATAAATGAAGAATAGAGTGTGTTTGATGTACTTGAACGAAGTGATGTAACTTCCTGTTTGGACTTCCAGTCTGGTCTGGAGCATTCCGCTCGGCTGGCTCTGTACAATGTCCGTCTTTCACCTCCTCCCCCTCCCAGTGAGACTCCCACTCCGGTTTCCCGAGGGGAGAGAGTTGGGAGAGGTGGTGGGGGCTTTGGCTTGCCCCCTCATACACACACACACACACACACACACACACGCCCTCACGCCCCTGCATCACGCCATTCAGATGCGTCGGCTACTGCTTTGGCTCGTTGCGTTCCCCTGTTGCGTTCCCCTGTTGCGTTCCCCTGTTGCGTTCCCCTGTTGCGTTCCCCTGTTGCGTTCCCCTGTTGCGTTCCCCTGTTGCGTTCCGGTGAGGGTGCTCAGTGGCACCCGCCGGCCGCCATCGTTGTGGTTGGGCGCCTGACGACCAAGCGCCCTGGTGCGAAGGTGCGTTAAGCTCCTCCCCCTTGCTTTCCCTCGCGTCACGATTGTCACCGTGTTGCGTTCTACAGCCCTGGTGTGGGCTGGGCTATCGGCGGGGCACCCGGGGGTGGGGGGTGGGGGTGTCCCCGTGGTCATGCACGCACCCCCTCAGTTGTGACCCCAGGCTTGCATTCAGTGGGTTTACCTGGGGCTCTGCGTGTTCAGTCATTACAGCCCGGCCTGTCCTGACTCGTACTGGCGCCTGACAGGCAGCGTTTGTTTGCACTCACAGGAAGTGTGTATGTGTGTGTGTGTGTGTGTGTGTGTGTGTGTGGAGGGGGGGGGGTTTATCTTATTTACTTTCATCCTACGGCCATGTAGGCTGAATAAACAGTGAGGGTGGGGCCGTGCTGACGGGATGGGGCTCCCTTGCCCCGGGGTGCTGCAGGTACGCTCTGACTGTCTGGAGGCGCGATAGGAGGCGGAGACGAGGTGTGAGGCTTCCCTATGCTTCCGGATTAGGATCCGTCTGCCGGCGGCCTCTTCCTATTGGCCTGACCTGTGACCGGTGCGGCGCCTGGGTTTCCTGCGCGGCTCGCGTCCCGATACCAGCGTCCTGTGACGGCCAGAGTCATACGGCAGGATTAATGAGCACCACCTCATGGCTTCCCCAGACCGATTATTTCCATGTTTGCTGTCGCTCCCTATCCGGACCTGCCTGTAGGATGTCATTATTGCTTGTTATGGGTGTGCCGTGTGCTACTGGGCGGGGCCTCCGTTAAACCTGGGCGGGGATGGTTCTCCAGCTGGGCTGAATGGTAGGTGTGGCCGTCCCAGTCTGCCTGCTGTGGGTTAACTCCTGCTTGGACGGCCTTCATGGATCAAGGGAGGACCCTACAAGCGAAGGACTGTGTAGCCATCTCAGCTGAAGTAGGAGTAACGGGGAGGGGGCTCGCTCCTCTCTGGGTGTCGGCCCTGGCAGTGACAGAGGGGATGGGCTTTTCAGAGATACCGGGACCGTGAAAGAGGTTGCAGCCGGAACGGGCCAGTTTCTGAGCACCAGTGCAGGCGCTATGGAAACTGACTGGGAAGAATTTCTTTTCAGTAACGCTGTAACTTTGTTTTACTTTTTTTTTTCTTTCCCCAAAACAGAGTCTGCAGCCCTTTTTTCCCCTCGAGTAAAACCTGCTGAGGTTGGCGTTGACTTGTAATCCGGGCCTTAGATGTCATACCTGCTGGGTTTACCTGAGGGGATAAAGTCCAGGGAAAAAACAATGTAACACGTTATGGGGGGAGCGCGGCTGTTTGAACTGTAACATTTGTGGAAATCAGTATCCATGTAGCCAGAGTCTGAACACGCCAGCATACATTAGACCCATAACTGGTTATTCTGACTCTGGAATTGCTTGGCTGCTGCGTGAAATATTTGTCTGCGTTATTCGGTAGTTTTAAGGAGCACCAGCTAAAAATAGAATTGGCCACACTGGTTCATTCACAGCCCCGTTCTTCTAGGGAAACATGTGGTCCCAATGAAGTGCGAGAGAAAATTCCAGAATGCTTTAAAGTGCCGCCTTCCTTTGCCTGAGAATATGGGCGGTTGATGGGAGTAGTGTTTCCATCTGTGGGATCCCATAATAAGCTTCTGGGAATTACAGTAGGTACCATTGACTGGAGGAAAGTGTAAAATCTGGCCCAAAACACTTATCATTTCTTTGCCCAGAACTGTCACAATATTTTTCATCAAAATAAAGGATATTTATTATTCTTCTATCTCTATCTTGTCCTTGGGCAGTGGTGGCTTAATTGTTAGGGACACGCATTTGTAATTGAAAGATTGCAGGTTCGATTCCCCGACCAGCAAGCTATCACTGATGTACCCTGAGCAAGGTACCGCCCCCAAGCACTGCTGAATTAGCTGCCCCCTGCTATGTCACGATGTCACATGGGTTAAATGCAGAGGACACATTTCATTGTTGTGTACTGTGGTGTGTCAACAATGATCACTGACCTCTAATTCTTATTTCTTTCAAAAACCACAATGAAATTGTCCATTGAAATGCAATGATTTTTAATGGTTTGACCAAAAGTATCTGTCAAATTTTACTCTCAATTTTCTCATACAAGCCGACAAAAACCCCACTAAACTAAGTATTAAAATAAGCAAAATCCCACCATCCACTGCAGAACCCTACCGTGCACATGAGTGCGGTCCCCACTCGTACCCCAATAGCCACCCCTCAAAAACCATTAAAGATAGAAACTGGAATTTTTTTGAGCCTTTAATTGGTATCAGAATCAAAGATCTAAATCTAGCCTGGGTGGATTTTCTGTTTTTACTTGCTGGAACCTTCTTGCAGTCAGTGTATTGACATGCAGGGTGCTGAACGTCCTCTTTGGGTGTGGTGTGGTGCGATGGGGATGGAGGTGGAAGGAGGCGTGCAGTAAAGGCGACCCGCGATGGAGCTGCAGCGACTCGCCGCTTCGACGTGTCCCCGGATGTGCGACTTGGGGTTTCCTCTCTTTCTCTTCTCCTCCACCACAAGCACAAACTTCCCCAGGTCAGGGGGAAGTGAGCAAGCTGTACCTACAGTACGACATGCTGAGCATAAGCATTAACGCACGAACGCCGCTGAGGCTGGGCTCCCTCAGCCTAGCTAATCCTGGATTTTTCGAGCTCAGCGTGGATCGTGGTGCTTCGTTCCGGGCCGGTTTCTTATCGCGTGCCGATCGCTTTCACATGCAGCATAAAAATGTAGCGGCTCTTGCGCTGAGTGATACAGATCCCTGTTCCCACTCCGAAAGGATGGAAAAACAAGTTGCGATGGAACAGATGGACTCCTCACTCATGTGCATCTGTAGGTCCCAACGGGGTCATGTGACCAGTCTCCGCAGGCTTTACGGATTGTTCCGCTCTTCCGACTGTGCATATAGCTTGGACATGTGGTCTGAGCCCTGCCATCACATTTACAGGCTCCTCTGAGTTCCCATGACCACCCATTGGGCCAGATGTATTAAGAGCAGCCTGTTGGTATTATGTGCTGACTGAGGTGTTTCCGGAAGCCTTTCTGGTTGACGACTTCTTCCTTTGCGTCCTTGTCTCACTTGGGTTTTCTCTGCTTCAGGTGGATGGAGGCCTGTCTGAATGAGGAGCTTCCCCACACCACTGAACTCGAGGAGGGCTTGAGGAATGGCGTGTACTTGGCCAAGCTGGGCAACTTCTTTGCCCCCAATGTGGTCTCTCTCAAGAAGATCTACGACCGCGAGCAGGCGCGCTATAAGGTGAAGGGAAGCCCAAAGCGTGGCCTGGCTGCAATCTCCTTAACCCATCTAGCCATATGGGCAGCTAGTGCATCTTCTGAACAGGAAATGACTTGTTTCTCCTTTTCCTCCCTGTAGGCCACTGGGCTTCATTTCAGGCACACCGACAACGTAATCCAGTGGCTGAACGCTATGACCGAGAAAGGCCTTCCGAAGGTGAGAGTAAAATATCACAAAATCACCTTGAGAACCTGCTTTAAAATGGCTCTCACCTGTTGGCAGGCTTGTATTCAGGGTGGAGACAAACTATCAGTGTGGTATCACAAACCCAGGGCTCAATCTCTGCGGCTCTAGGCTTCACACACTTTTTCTTGTCCTCTGTTCAGATCTTCTACCCTGAAACTACAGACATCTATGACAGGAAGAACATGCCTCGCTGTATCTACTGCATACATGCGCTCAGGTACGGCAGTCAAATCGCCTTGAGCCTCGTCTGATCTGTGTCTCCTCTGGTGCCAGTTAATGGCATATCTGGGCCGATAACTTGTTGGTGTCTAGGACTGTGCTCTGTGGGCCGTAGTGTGTGTTAAATGAAGCGTATTTGGGTTTCAGGTGTCTAAAATGAGAGCTTTGTGGTCTTGTGGTGGAAATTGGCAGATAGGCCATAGACATAAACTCTATCTAGGCTGCGTTTCCACTGCAACTGCGTAAGTGACGTGGCCACAGGGGGCTCTCAAGGCTGGTCTTGTGATCATGGAGTCTCTGAGCGAGTCTGTAGAAGAGCTCTGGTGAGCATGCCTGAGCCCACAAGCTCTGTGTGACCTCATGTTCCAGGACGGCAGCTAGCCCACTGCCAGGTCCAGGTGGAATCTCCATGTTAATGCGGAGCATTTCTGCCGGAAGATCGCGGTTAGTCCGTTTAAACTCAGCAGGCCACCGCAGAGGCGCATGGCCGCGAAACCGCACTCGCCTCTGGTGAAGCAGATGGATCTCCGCCCCCTGGCCCTGTTTAATCTCCTCTCTCTTCACTACACAGTTTGTACCTCTTCAAGCTTGGACTGGCCCCACAGATCCAGGACCTGTACGGAAAGGTGGATTTCACAGGTGAGGGTGGTATGAGCCAGCCCCGGCCAAATAGTCCTCCTCCAGTGGGTCCCAGTGTTCTGGGTGGTGAAGCCCTTCGGAGGGACTGAGGGGTTAAAGTGCAGCTGTAGAGAGAGCAGAGTGGAAGTAGCCAATATGAGACTCGTTAGTAATTGTGCGAGTTTCCTGTCATTTGTTATACCGGCTCTTCCTGCTATGCTGATGGAGAGAGTGTTTATCAGCAACACAATTGCTAACTCCCAGCAGCCCTGCCCCCCTACCCCCCATCCCCCACACGGGGACACTTCAGCTAACCTCAGCCGCCCTGCCCAGATAGTGCATAGTGACTAATAATATTATCTACTGGGCATATTGTGTACTTTACCGTAGCAGAGCATTAAAATCACCCCCTGTCTCATCTTGCTTTCCTGAATACTCTGGGGCTTGAATCCCCCACAGGATACTGGCTTTGGGTGCCAGGGTGGCTGGGGTTGGTGTTCAGGGGGACCAGAGAGGGTGGGTCCCCTCTGTGGTGGGCAGGGTTCCGCTAACCGCTAATTAGCTTTCTTTTTGGTTAGCGGATTAGCATTTCCACTAACTTTTAAAAACTAGTTGACCGATTAGCTTCCGCTAAATTTAGTTCTGCAAAGTGTAAATCTACTAGCATTTTGTCGTAGGTAAAGTTTATCAGTCGAAAAACCTTTGTTAATCCTAAAATCACATATTCGTCCAGTCTGTTGTGAGCGTGTCTGCAGCAGTCTGTCTGGCACGCTGTGGGCTGACCATGCATAAACACAACACATGATTAGTGGATAACTTGTCGTTAATGTCTTTTGGGCTAAATGTGAGTCAACGAAGATGAAGTCCATTTAAATTCTGGTACCCTGAACGAAGCAGAGAACTGGGACCAGTATCACGAAGCTGGATTTCTTGCGTAGTCGCATAACATAAAGACTGATTATGGGTTACTGTTTCCCACAGAGGAGGAAATCAACAACATGAAGAGTGAGCTGGAAAAATATGGAATCCAGATGCCAGCCTTCAGCAAGATAGGTGGAATCCTGGCCAATGAGCTGTCGGTCGATGAAGCTGCCCGTGAGTCTGACACAGGCGCCTAGTGTGCTGAAAGCACTCACACAAGAATTGTTAATTAAATTATTGCTCAAATTCTTCAAATCCCAGTAAACATGGAAATCGTCTTTGCGAAACGTGACGCTGGCACACGTGACATTAGGCTAAAACATGGGGTCCCTCTTGCCCCCCCTAGTGCATGCCGCTGTGATCGCCATCAACGAGGCCATTGACCAAGGCAACCCAGAGGGCACCATGGCCGCCATGCAGAACCCCAACGCTATGCTGGTGAACATGGCTCCGCGTTCAGCCCAGTACTACCAGGACACCCTGTTCCAGGCCAAGGCTGAGAAAGTAGCGAATTCCAGGAAGCGGGTGGGTGTCGCTGATTAGCGCTTATTTCCAGAGGGGACGTCCAAGTTTTTACCTCTGAGTTGCCCAGCTGAATAAAACTGTAGCGATTCTGGTTACCAGTGATTCTGGGTGGCGGTTCTGACTTTTACTGGGACATTGGTACTGGTAGACATTTCAGGTCCAGAAAGTTAAAATCCAGACCAAGAATTTGTTTCAACAGCCACGGAGTCACAAATTTTTGGATTTTTACTTTCTGGAGCTGCAATCTCCAACTCTGCTGGAACATGATCCCGTATTAATCAGCTCAGCTGTTTGTGACCGTAAACTCTCCGATGCCTCCTGTTCCAGTGTTACTTAATGTCACTTTTTCTGGAATTTCCTGTGGCCTGGCTTGTTTGAGCATTTTCTCTTCAAGGCAGTGCTGCCTGTTTTAGAAGGGCACCTTGTTGCTCTGTTGAAATGGGTGTGACTGTGGGTGATATCATGTTGTTCAAAAATAGCGCTGCTGTATTTTGTCAGCTAAGGGGCAGCCCTAATAAGGCAGTGTTCGTGTCAAGATAGGGGAAATGACTCAATAAAACTGACCGGTTGGGAGCCCCCCGCCCCCCCCCCCCCCCAGTTATAAGCCAGCCAGCCAGGCAGGGTCTCCCACCAGCGACTCTGCATCTGTAACAGAGTTCTGAGTGCCATCAACTCAGCAGCTCTGCCATCAACTGCCAAGCCCCCCCCCCCCCCCCCCCCTACCCAGGGTGCGGTGGTAGAATAAGGAGCAGTAGTAAGAAATACTTCAAGAAAGACTTCCCCTCTCTTGGCAGATGTGTTGTAGTTGGTGTCTTAGAGAGGTCCTAATTGTTTTGCTTGCCTTGTGGTCCTGAGTCAGGCTCATCAATAATGGAGAAAAAAAATGTTAATGGAGAATCAGTCCAGTTGAGGAGGGTATGGTGTGGAGGAAGGTCAGTAACCCAACTGACCTCTGGGTTTTGTATCGTTGAAGCACAGTGAGACCAACCAGAGGAGATTCCGGAAACCATTGGACTAGTGCCCACTTCAGAACGTACATGCAGTATTATAACACTTCTAACATTTTGTTCCTTAAACCTCATTATAAATGTTACTGTTCATGTCTCTCGTAGATTGTAGAGAACTCTGAGGTAGAGAGAGATGTTTATGAAGAACTTCTGACCCAGGCTGAGATCCAGGGCAACGTCAACAAAGTCAACTGTGAGTGACTCCCTTTGTGGAATCAGATGCAGCTGTGTCATGCCACCTCATGAGAAGTCACACAATGACCCCACTGTTGTCCTGCCTCCCAGTGGCTAATGCCCTGACCTCGACGGACCAGGCCTTGCTGAGCGGCGACGAGGACAGGCTGTATGACGCACTCCGGGCCCAGGCTTTGGGCCTGCGTGACCTGCAGTTGCAAAACAAGAGCTGGTACCTGAAGCAGTTGACGGCAGACCGTGAGTGCAAAGAGCAGGTGGGCTTCCTTCTCATACCCTAAACCCCCCGGGATGATGTGGTTGGCTGCCTACAAGTTTAAAAATGGCACTTACCTATTTTTTTCTCCCTTGGTTTGCTGAATTTCTGGTCCTTTTTCTACCCAGAATACCCCAGGAGAGCCCTTGATTAAGGAGGAGATTCAGAACGGAGTGGATGTCGCGAACGAGAATGCAGCTGGCTATCAGAAACGTGAGGTTCCCCTGCTCATTTATGGCCCCTCATTCATCCTCATGCTCTGTAGCTGTTTCTTGCAGTACTCCGGTGACCAGCAGGTGGCGATCTGACCATCCCTGCCTCCCCAGTGCTGAAGGCTGTGGAGCGCATCAATGCAGCCATCCGGGCAGGCGTGGCGGAGGATACCGTGGCCGAGCTGATGAACCCGGACGCCCAGCTGCCTCAGGTGTACCCCAGCGCGGCAGGGCTCTATCAGCGGGAGCTGGCCAGTCTGCAGCAGCAGAGCGCCGAGGTACGGACTCGAGGGATAGGCTGGTGTAAGTGTGGAGCTCAGAAGGATGGGCTGGCGTAAAAGTACCCTGCTGGCATTTGACGTCGTTTTTTTTATATATTTGTTGGTAAGAGGTTTCTATACTGTGATACTCTTGATACTTACAGTGACAGAAATATGTTGATGAAACGTTTGACCCAGTCGCTGCAACATTAATCATGCCACGTAGGAAAACCTGATGCACCCAGAGCTGTCGGTCGCCGTGGAGATGCTGTCCTCGGTGGTGCTGATCAACGGGGCGCTGGATGTGGGGGACCGGCCGGCCGTGTGGAGGCAGCTGGCGAGTCCAGTCACAGGGCTGAGCAACGTGGAGGATGACTGTGCTCAGAGGTGGGCAGAAGGGCTGTGCGTGGGGCAGGTGGCAGGCTGCCATTAACCTACCCGGCCCCGCAGGTACATCGATGAGCTCATGCGGCTGAAAGTCGCCGGCCGCGAGGAGGGGAACGAGTTCCTGACCTGGAATGACATCCAGGCTTGTGTGGACCAGGTCAACAATGCCGTGCATGAGGAGCACCAGAGTGAGTAAGGCCAGAATGGAACAGAAGTAATGTAGAGTTGAGTCGTGCTGGTACCGGTTCTGTCCACAGAGTACATGGATAAAAAGCAACATCGGCGAGGCACCTGGTGCTTAATTCCGCCTCCCGTGGCTTTTTCAGGAATCCTGGCCATCGGGCAGATCAACGAGGCCCTGGATGAAGGCGACGTGCAGAAGACGCTGGCCGCCCTGCAGCACCCGGCTGCCAAGCTGACGGACGTGCGCCCCCCGGTGGCCCAGCACTACTTTGACAAGCTGCTGGAAGCCCGGCGGGAAAAGGCCCACGTAAGGACGGCCTGGAAACCCCACAGGCCTCCCCTGCCCTCACACCCCGCCGCTAACACCGGCGTGGCCACAGAGCTAATTTCAGACCCAGAAGGAGCAGAGGGTGGCACCGCGGGCTTTAAAAGGCCGAACCAAGGCCGGAACGGTGAATTTGGAGCTGCTGTGGGAGCGGTTCCTGATGCCAAAATCAAACGAATGGCGGGGGGGGGTCGTAGTCGGTCTGTCCCAGCAGCCAAGCTGCATGCGATTCCTCCACGTGATGCTCGTGGCATTGCGCCTCTTCTGCTTCCTTCCCCTTTTGCTTGTGCTAAAATCTAAGGGCAAAAAAACGAAACGCAAACACTCTGCACGTGAAGCAAGTGGCGTAATGGGTGAAGGTGACGGCTGGGAGGCATCGAGGTTCAAAGCAAGACGACTCCAAGCCTGCCGATTTTATTTACCGGGGTATTAGGTGTTAAGCACACCTGGGGCTGTCAAATGAGGTACTAGATGAGAAGCTCGCTCTGAGATCCCCGGAAGGCCCCTATTTTTCATGCAGATTTATTTTCATAGCGCTGCTGTTTGGCGACGCTGTTACAATGTCACAGGTTTCCTGTTTTCTGAAGGTAATCGCTATTTTTAGGACGTTGCTCTGCATGTCTTCAGCACCTCGTAGTTACGGTTCCTCAGACCGCTAGGGTTTTTCATGAGGGGCTGGATGATTCTTGCATGATTTTTGGGATTTCGTGACGCTCTGAGTAACCTGCAGATGTAACATTTTGTGTCAAACTAATTTTAATTTCTCCCATGTGACGACATCCAGACAGAGATATGAAGTCTCTTCCTAGAAATAGCTTTGCTGGCCCCATTTAGTTTTCATTTACATGCCCAAAAAGGAACAAGCAGGCCTTGTTCATGTTCCATTTTGGATCATTTTCCAGTTGGGGGGGTTGGGGGTGTGGTTTCTCCACCCTCACTCAGTCATTGCAGAGCTTTCAGCGTTGGGTTATTTGGTTATTTGCAGACACTGACTGATACTGCAGTGAGATTTTCTCACTCATATGTTGCCAAGCCCTGTTTCCGTAGCAGAGGTTCCCCTTTTTAAAAGAAAAACTCTCAGTAAAAGTTGCTGTCATTTAGACCCTCGGCTCTGTGTGGAAAGTACGAAGAAACAGGCATCTGTTTTTTCCATAAAAGGCAAAATGAAGTTGTCAGGCTTGGCTCAGAGGAACTGTGGGAATGGTGCTTTGTCTCCCGCAACCCCGAGCTCCGATGACCTGGGACGCTTCCGCCCGCGCTGTGCTGGGCCCTGGTTCCTGAGAGTCCCTCAGCGTTCTCCCCTCGTGGCCAGGAAGCAGCATGGATCGGCCCGCCGAGAAGAGGAAGTCTGCTAACTTCAAAGAGCTCCAGTATCATAGTTTGTGCAGTTGTGGCTTTGAAGGACAGGGAAGCTCGCAGCCCGCTTGTCCTCTTAGATTACAGTAGTGTGAACGTTATGTGCCGTCATGTCGATGACCAGGCAGCCAGCCGGAACAGTCCTTTCTTTAGGGTTGACCTCCCTGACATCTGACCCGGGCGGACAGTAGTGCTTCCGCATGCCTTGGCAAGGCTGAGGACAGCTGTTTGAGCGCCACGTGTGTGGCTTGTGGAAAAGTCAGCTGTTCAGTCCTCATTTTGCAGGCACTGAGAGTACGCCACCACCCCCCCCCCCCCCCCCACCCCGAATGGAATTGGAGAAGGGGGAAGAGAGGGTTAATTTACCACACCCTCTCCTCACTTCCTCACTGTGGTGAAATGTTATTACATTTGCACTAAGACATGCCTGTGTTTCCCCTCACAAACCTGCATGCACACCACTACCTGGTCACCGTAATGCTACATTTAGGTGTGCACTCCTATAGCTCTTTTTTACAGTAGTTAAAGCCTTACGTCGAAGGACCGGACAAATGCAGCTATTTACCTTCCTGCATCCCACACCCCCAGCGTTCACATGGGTCCTATGATCTGCCTGGCTTTAGCGAGTCTGGGGAAGTGACTGCGGCACAGAGAGGCCCCTGTGGTATTGGCCAAATAGCCAGCAGCTCAGCACACTCCGGAAACGAGCCCAGCAGGCAAGCTCGAGAGGCGGATGGTGGCAGAGAGCCCCACCTGCTGTCAAAGTGTGGTACTGCATGACGGTCAAACTGTCAGAATGTCTGTGTGGAACTACAGGCCATCCAAAATGAGTTTAACTAGTTTATCAGTACTTTCTCCTACTTTTCTGGCAGAGATGGTGCGAGACATGAGCACTAGATCAGGGGTTTGGTTATTCTGGGTAGGAATCTAAACTTTTTTCTTTCCCCGATGGTTCAGTCTTACTCATGGGTTTGGAAAAACCCCACTTCAGTGCACTGACTGCCAGCCAGAGGACACTGTGAAAGCAGTGGTTCCTGTGAACACTTTATTAGTTCTGTTTAGTCTGCAAGCATAATGATTTATGCTGCATGACACAGCGGAAGCGTCTGTTTTCTTTAATGGGACAAGGTGAAAGATCGAAGAGTGCCCTCTGGTGGCCAGATATTTCTGGCTCTAATAAACTTTGTTAGTATTGTTAACACCATCAGAAGTTATCAGTGTTACTATCAAAGTGACAATTTACTCTGATTCTGCAATTAATAACACGTTGAGCATACATTTCGCGGTTTGTCGGCTTCTTCCAGTTCTGTCATAGCATCCGTGTCTCTAGCATTGACCATCTCCATCTTGTTCTCCAGGAGACTCGGGACTCCTCTGCCGTGCTGTGGCTGGATGAGATCCAGGATACTGTGGTGATCTCCAACCAGGATACCCAGGATGCCTTACTGTGTAAGATCACTTGGCGTTGTCCTAGCAACCATTCCCACCAAGCACAGATCCCATTCTGGTGGTCTGATATCCACGTGCCTGAATGACATCAAGTGCCTGTTTTTATGAGCAGCGTCTCTTCCTGCCTTTCCTCAGTTTCTCAGGCTATTCTGGCCATCAACAAGGCTGTGGACAGTGGCGATGCCAGCCAGACATTGGCAGCCCTGCGTAGTCCCGGTACTGGTCTCTACGGCATCACCTCTGAGTGCGCCCAGACGTACCAGAACGACCTGGCTAAAGTCAAAGACGCAAAGAAGTCGGAGGGTAGGGCATAGACCCGTGCAACACTCAATGTGATGGCAAAGTAACTTATTCAGCACATGTTGATACAAAGGCCTTTAGCATGAAAAGTAGGTCATACACGTTAAAAAATTCCTGTTCTTACTGATACTTAGAATTGACAAAAGTTTGAATAACTTTGAATTAATACAAGGGTTGCTGTATGGGTCTGTCGGCAGGCGACAACGGCAGCGAGTGGGTGAAGCACTGGGTGAAGGGGGGTCACAGTTATTACTTCAACGTGAATGACGGTGAGGGTACCTGGGAGGAGCCGGTCAGCTTCATCCCCAACAACACTCAGCTGAACAAGGAGGACATCCAGGTGGGCTGCCAGCTGATGTCTGGAGATTACGATTTCTTTGTCTAGCAGATGCTTTTATGGTATATGGTCCAAAGCGAAAGCAGGGTCCATGGAGCTATTGGAGATTAAGGGCCTAACTCAAGGGCCCAACAGTGGAAACACTCTGCTAACTCTGGGCTCTTTGGCTGGAGACCTAACAGTGACAGGGAGAGTGCCTTAACCCGCTGAGCCACACACACATATACATACATACATACATACATACATACATACATACATACATACATACATACATACATACATACATACATACATACATACATATAGGGGGTGGCTACACAATAGCCCAACCTTGAATGAGCAGGTGACAGATAGTTGCTGATATTTTCTCATCACTCCATCTCCATTTTTGCACTGCTCCTAGTCTGTGGTGTCTGGTGTGACCTCGGCCTACAACCGCGAGCAGCTGTGGCTGGCTAACGAGAGCCTGATCGCCAAGCTGCAGGCACGGTGCCGGGGATACCTGGTCCGGAAAGGCCTGAAGGAGCGACTCGGGTTCCTGAAGACGCAGGACCCTGCCATCACCCGCATACAGGTGACTGCCCTACTGCCACCTCACAGCTGTCCCTGTCACCATAGCCCATGTAGCCTTGCAACTGCAAGCCATTCCAGGGTTGTTTGCATGCTTTGCTGCATTTTGTTTGTTGTCCTCTTGCCACCCAGTTGACATGCCAAATAAGGGTCTATATGCAAATTCGCTGAGCCCGTTGTACTGAGACTGAGACCGTCTGCTGCCCACAGGCTCACTGGAAAGGCTACAAG